ATCTGGCGTGCCACGTTTGTTCCATCTGCTGAGGACGATTGCACCGTCTATCACCAACTCTGCCGCAACAATACATGACAACATGATGATTTGGGCAATGAGTAAGATCGTCCTTGGCAAGATGGCCGACAGCATGAGAATACCAACAGTCAATGAAGTAGGCGCAGACCCGACGAAGAGCGAGGAGGTAGATTTCTTCAAAGGGACAGCTCGGACGCAGGGTGCACCTACCCATGCGTGAAGGATGACTAGGAACACGAGCAATGTTCTCATTCGAGAATCGGCTTTGTGGTAGGGCAAGCGCTGGTGTTCTCCAAGTCAGTGCAAGCATCGACAGGATACACACCGGTCGCCCCAGTGGTCTAGTGGGTAGCCTCGCAGCCTGCTAAGGGCCAGGTCATGGGTTCGAGTCCCGGCAGAGAGAGTTTTTTTCTCACTAAATAAATCCTGGTCTAGGATGAAAGCGACGCGCTGCAAAGCTCGTTTGTTAGTTAACCATAATCGACTTCGTATGTCGCGAGGGAATAGATTGCTGTACCCTTCTCGCGATAAAAATACTTCAGGCATGAACCGCAGGAGGGGGTCCAACCCGCCCCTCCTATGTGACCCCGGTTGGGTCGTCTAGCTAGTATAAGTGGAGGATAGGTNCGAGGGAAGGGATTGCTGTACCCTTCTCGCGATAAAAATACTTCAGGCATGAACCGCAGGAGGGGGTCCAACCCCCCCCTCCTATGTGACCCCGGTTGGGTCGTCTAGCTAGTATAAGTGGAGGATAGGTCAGAGGATAGGGGCCCGAGGGACAGACGACAGAGTCCAATGATGAGAGGAAAACAAACAACAAACAATAACAGTTGAGCAATGCCTACCCCGGCTTGCCCAGCTACCGACAGGATTGGCTCTGATTGACTCGCTGAAGAAGCTAGAGGAGATCATCACCAAAGACAAGCTTGAAAAAGCTGTTGGGCAGTCATGGGCTAAACTTGCCACAAGTGATGAGTTAACCCCCGCCCTCAAAGGA